CCATTGTCCCTTTTCTGAGCCTTCCCCCCGCAGAGCCACAGAGCTGGCAGGTGGGTGCCATATCTGAGACTCCATCAGCCTGGCTAACACTGTTTGCCTGACCCTGAAGATCCTCTGAGGCACCATCCCATCCAACATACAGCTATTAACAGTGGCTTTTTCATATGAATGGCTGATCTTGGCTCGTGCTTCACAACTTCCTAAATCCTCTCAAACAAGCAACAGCCAGCCTTGGTGAGCTCCCAACCCCCATACCTCTTGCTAAGTCACCCCAGGCACAGCACTAGCAGCAGCCAGCTTAGACTCACAGCTTGGTTTGCCTAGGAATCTCCAAGCCCGGCACAAGTAGCAGCCATCTCAGATTGTTCTATAGCTCAGGCAGAGTTGCTCCAGGCAAAACACAGGTGGGTGCTGATCTTGACATCAACCACCCAGAAAACCCAAGAGTCTGCACACCCAGAAGACATCTACAGACCACATTGGAGTACCACCACCCTGCCCCTGCACAGCTGATACTCCATGGAGGGCAGAGGGTGGTGATACATGGTCACAGCCAGTCCTTGCAGTTGACTGGCCTGGGTAAATCCCTCCCATTGACCTGACAACAGCACCCAAGGTTCAACTACAACACGAGGGTATACTTAGTCCACAAGAAGGGCGCACCCTCAAGTACCAAGCTTGGGTCTTGGGAGGCTGTGCCAACTGGATCCTACAGGACACCTACTATATTAGACCATGCTACCAAGACAGGGAGTCATAGTAGCTCTACCTAGTACACAGAAGCTGCCAAAATGAGCAAACAAAGAAATATGGGCCAAATGAAAGAACAGATCAAAACTCCAGAAAAGGAACTAAACAAAACAGAGATAAGCAATCTGTCAGGTGCAGAGTTCAAAACATGGTTATAAGGATGTTCCAGGAAATTAGTGAGAACCTCAACAGTATAAAAAGGATCTAGTCAGAAATGAAGGAGACACTAAGTAAAATAAAGAACAATTTATAGGGAAACAACAGTAAAGTAGATAAAGCTGAGAATCCAATCAATGATTTAGAACATAAGGAAGACAAAAAAAAGGAAACAAAGAAAGAAATCAATCAGAACAACAAGAAAAAAAAAGAATCCAAAAAAAAACAAGGCTAGTGTAAGCAGCGTCTGGGACAACTTCAAGAGGTCCAACATTCACATCATAGAGGTGCCAGAAGGAGAAGAGAAAGAGTAAGAAATTGAAAATCTATTTGAAAAAATTAATGAAAGAAAACGTCCCTCATTTGGTGAAGGAGATAGACAAGCAAGTCCAGGAAACAAAGAGAGTCCCAAACTAGATGGATGCAAAGAGGTCCACTCCAAGACACACCATAATTAAAATGCCAAAGGTCAAAGATAAAGAATCTTAACAGCAGCAAGAGAAAAGCAGAGAGTTACCTACAAGGAGTAACCATAAGACTATCAGCTGGTTTCTCAAAACAACAATAACAACAACAACAACAACAACAAAAATTTTGCAGGCTAAAAGGGATGGCAAGAAATATTCAAAGTCATGAAAAGCAGGGACATACGATCAAGATTGATCTACCCAGAAAAGATATTATTTAGAATTGAAGGGCAGATAAAGAGTTTCCCAGGTAAGAAAAAAACTAAAAGAGTTCATTATCACCAAATCATTATTATTTGAAATGTTAAAGGGACTTATTTAAGAAAAAGATCAAAACTATGAACAATAAAATGTCAATAAATACATATCTATCAACACTTGAATCTAAAAAACAAACTAAGCAATGAATATCGCTAGCTATCAGAGAGATGCAAATTAAAACCACAATGAGATACTACTTCACACCAGTCAGAATGGCCATCATAAACAAAGCAACAAACAACAAGTGTTGGAGAGGTTGTGCAGAAAAGGGGGCCCTAGTGCACTGTTGGTGGGACTGCAGACTGGTACAACCACTATGGAAAACAGTATGGAATTTTCTCAGAAAACTAAAAATGGATCTGCCTTTTTACCCAGCAATTCCACTGTTGGGATTACATCCTAAGAACCCTGAAACATCGATCCAAAAAAAACCTATGCACCCCAATGTTCATAGCAGCACAATTTACAATAGCCAAGTGTTGGAAGCAACCTAGATGCCCATCAGTAAATGAATGGATCAAAAAACATGGTACATTTACACAATGGAATTCTATGCAGCAGAAAGAAGGAGCTCCTACCCTTTGCAACAGCATGGATGGAGCTGGAAAGCATTATGCTAAGCAAGACAAGCCAGGCAGTGAAAGATAAATACCATATGATCTCACCTTTAACAGGAACCTAAACAACAAAACAAAGAAACAAGCAAAATATAACCAAAGACACTGAAATAGAGAACAGACTGACAGAGTTCAGAGGGGAGAGGAGAGGGAATTTCAGGGGAATTTCAGGGGAAAAGGGGAAGGGTATACAGGAACAAGTATAAAGGACACATGGATAAAAACTAGGGGTGAGTGAAAATGGGAGGGAGAAGGGGAGGGCTGGGTGGGTGGGTTGGGATGGGAGTAAAAGATAGAAAATTGTACTGCAACAACAATTAAAATAAAAAAAAATCCACATAAAAAATAAATTAAAAAAAAAACCTAAGCAATGAAAAACAGAGACAGAATCATGGATACGGAGTGTTTTGATGGTTGCCAGATAGTAGAGGTATGTAGGGGGATGGGTGAAGAGGTGAGGGGATTACGAATACAAATAGATAGTTACAGAAGAGCCATGGGGATGTAAAGTACAGTACAGGAAATAGAGTAGCTACATAACTTATTCACATGACCCATGGACAGGAATGATGGTGTGGGGATTGTCTGAGGGAGTGGGGAGTACTGGGTGAAGAGGAGTAAAAGGGGAAAAATTGGGACAACTGTAATAGCATAATCAATAAAATATAATTTTCAAAAGCTGCATAAAGGCAACCCCAGCTAAAGCAATTATCTGTTGACACAATCATTTGTTTATATAACCAACATTTAATAACTAACATGGGATTGGAGCACACTGACCCCTTCAAAGTTCTTTTGTTTACATCATCTCATTTAACCCTTTCCAACCTCAAGATGTTATATATTTTGACTATTTCACAGACGCAGAAACTGAAGTTATATAATGATATAGTCACTGAGCTAATAAGGCAATACACACATACTGGTCTTTCTGGCTCTGACATTCTTGTGGTTTCTACCATTTTTTTCTTTAAAAAATACTTTTAAATTTTATTGTTGTTCAAGTACAGTTTTCTGCCCTTTCCCCCTTCAACCCCATATTTTTAAATTCTGTGTAAGTTTATAGGTATCAGAAGAACATACTCTACTCCAAGTCTGTTTGAAACACAAGTTATCAGGAAAAGGCTTAAAAAACCAGATGGCCTCACTGAAGAAAATGTCAAGTTACAAAATGCTGGCCTTGGCCCCGGCCAGGTATCTCAGTTGTTTGAGTGTTGCCCTGTTGTCCCAGGTATTGCATCTTCAATATCCCATATAAGAATCAACCAATGAATCTATAAATAGGTAGAACAGCAAATAGATGCTTTTCTCTCTCACAAATCAATAAATTAAAAAATAATAATTTTAAAATGCTGGCCTTTCCCCTTCTCATTTGCCCTGCTCTTCTCCTTTTGGCTTCATAGAAGAATGTGTCCCATCAACTAATCAATCAGCCTACTACCTAACCAATCAGGCAACATTCTTAGCCTAAGCTATGGACTGTGAGGACACCAGGAAATGTGCCCAGGCCCTGCCCTCGGGTCAATGCAGGAAACAGAACCCACCAAAGCAGAATAAGCAAGGTCAGGGTCAAAGGAGGGAGCCTGGGAAGGATCTGGGGGAGGAGGGAGCCATCTGGAATGATGATGGGGAGATGGGCTTGGGATGGGGAAAGGAAATAGAGATGGTACTTCTGGTCAGAAATTGTGAGGGTGTAATATGCCAACTGTGAAGACAGCAGCCACCTGTGGTCCATATTTGTTTTCAAGAAGTAGTGAGAAATAGGATCAGGGCCTGAATATGTTGGATCATGAACAAACAGCAGATTTGAAGGCCATGTGCTGAGCAATTGGGAGCTTTGAAGGGTTTTGGGGATGAACTAGGAAAGGACACCATAAATTTAATGTCTAAGCAAGCTGTAAACATTTGCAAATCTCCTTAACACTGATTTGTTGCCTGGTTTAAACTAACTAGAATAATTACTTTTCAGTGTTAAAAAATAAATAAAAAGAAAAAAGCCAGAAAGTTCTCAAGTATCCCACTGATACAGCAAAGTGCCTAGTACCTTGGACTATTAAAATTAGAAATTTCTCTTAAATGTGATTTGATGTGATGAAACATCAAAGGCTACAGAGCTGTGATTTTTGGAAAATAAAGCATGTAGGTACAAGTATCCAGGAGTGAAAGAGAGAAAATTATGTAATCTTATTGGCAGGGAAAGTGCCCCAAACCAAGGTTTTTTGTTTTTGTTTTTGTTTTTCAGTGCTATGAAGTACCTACCTGACTGCTACCTTTCTGGAGTGACCAGGAGAGGTATCCAATTTTTATGTCTTGTCCCCAATATTAAGGAAAATTGTGTCTTTTTATTCATTTTGTCTATTTTGTCAAGTCTTTATTTCTTATCTGTACAGTTAGCATCTCTGATGCACGCACAGAGACTGAGATAACTGCTGCAACTTTTAAAACCAGATAATGAGATAAACAACAACATGCATGGGGGTCTGCTAACCTTTAGACTATTTGTTTTGATGCTTCATCTTTTTACATTGTTCTGTGGACATTGGGAGAGAGATATCCAGACAGAACACAGGCTTTTTCTTTTCTTTAAGATGAAGGGATGGATGTTTAAGAGGTGAGAAACCTTTTTAAAAGCAGACGTACGATGTTCTATGCTTATATAATGCAACCCCAAACCCTGGGAAAGTATTTTTCACCTTCTTAACCTATATTCAACTCCCAGTCTATTGGTTATATTCTAATTCATACTTACCTATGAGCAAACATGGAATCAAGGAGTAGAAAAACCACATGATAAGACTTGTCGAGATTTCTTCTAGAATCATCATGAGGGTCTGTGTGTGGCGGACTCAGCTTGACCTGGAACATTGTTTCCTTTCACAATGAAACATTCTGTCCATCTCAGCCATCCTTGCTTCAAAACGCAGATGCTGGAGCTGAGGTCTGAGCTGTTGTGCAGCCTGAATTGTTCCGGAAACTGGAGCCTGCACAGACAGCTCAGAAGGGGCGGGCTGTGTAGCACCCTCCCTTCTGCCCAAACCCAGATATTGCATCAGGGGGAGTGGCCTAGGAGAGTTCCAGAGAAAAGGTAACTCTGGAGAGCTTGAGAATCTGCCTTGGAGAAATACCCTGGACAATAGGTTCTGTCCTGGAGGACTCTGCATGTCCCTAGAAACCCAACTGGAGTGAGCAGGCAGGATTATCTTGCCCTCTCATCAAGTAGCTGACTGCTTCCATATCTCCATCCTGTGAGTTCATTCAGGCTGGGTACTGATTAGCTCTTTTTGCTAATACATATCCACTTCAAAAAAAAAAAGTAGAAAGCCTAAAAAAATGTTTTAATACCTTTTAAAAAGTCAGGAAGTGAAGAACACTATATCGTTTCATATTCACTTGCATTTGCAAGAAGAAAACCTGGAAGGAGACACAGAAACTAACAAGATTGGTAATCTTGGGCAAAGGAAGTGGGAACTGGGAAGATGAAGAAAAATAGGAATGAGACTCTTCTCAATATGTTTTTTGTTTGTTTGTTTTGGGGTTAAAATTTTTTTATTGTGGTAAAATATACATAACATAAAATGTACCATCTAATAATTTTTAAGCATACAATTTGATGGTATTAAATGCATTCACATTGTTATGCAAACATCACCACTCTTCATCCATCCTCATAGCTCTCTTTATCTTGTAAAATTGAAACTCTATGCCTATTAAACATTAACTCCCCATTATCCCCTTCCCCCTGCCCCTGCGACTACCAGTCTACTTTCTGTTGCTATGAACTTCAGTACTCTAAGTATCCCATGAAAATAGAATTATATAGTATTTGTCTTTCTGTGACTGGCTTATTTCACTTAGCATAATGTTCTCAAGGTTTAACCATGTTGTAGCTCACTGCAGAATTTCCTTCCTTTTTAAGTCTAAATAATATCCCATTGATGTATATGCCAACTTTGCTCATCCGTCCACCAATCAGTGAACAGCCGTGTTGTTGCTTCCACATTTTAGCCATTGTGACTAAGGCTTCTATGAACACATATGTACAAATCTCTCCTCAACACCTTGCTTTCAATTGCTTTTGGTGCTGTATATTTTTATAGTTTGATTACTGAACAATGTGAATGTATTATTAAAAAATTTTTAAAATAATTTTAAAAATTAGAAGGAAACCTTATGATAGGGTTTGGACCTCTAAAATGTCAGCTTTCTAAGGACACTAAAACACTTTATATGTGCAAATGCATTAGCGAAAAGAATATGGGTTTTAGAGTACAGCGGATTTTGGTTTCAGTTTAAGAATTTATTTGCAATGTTCCCTTGGGAAAATGAATTGCGTATTCATTCAGAACTCACTATGGGCATAAACTATGTGCTAGATCCCGAGAATTCAATAGCTCCTGCCCTCAGCCAAGAATCCTCAACTAGTAGAGAAGATGGACATGAGAATAATCATAAATCGTTATTGAAAAAGGTGACAGAAATATTCACAAGGGAATAGGCGAGCCTAACCCAGCAGAAGGGATCAGAGAAGGCTTCCAGGAGAAGGTGACTTTGGGGCTATTATATACTAAAAAAAATTAACCAGACCTGGTGTGTTTAGGAAACCATAAGAAGTTTCGTGCAACTGAAGAGCTAGTTGGGAGTGGCAAAAAATGGGTCCAAAGTCGGATAGAAACATGATTCCAGAGAGCTTTGAATGCTTTGTTATGGAGCTTAGAGTTTATCCACAAAGAGCAATGAAGCTTAGAGAGCAATGTGGGTCAAAGAAGGGGTCAAGCTCAAATCTGATCATGTCATTCCTTGCATTTGAGCTTTAAAAAGTTTATGACTAGGATAGAGAAAACAGTAAAAGGGGCCAGACCAGAGGAAGAAGGGCCAGGAAGGTGCTATGTCAGTCAGCCAGGTAAGAGATATGGTTGGTTTCCACTAGGTTTCTCCATGTCTGTGTAGAAAAGTGATTAAATCCACAGGATGGAAGTAGAACTGACAGCTCTTAAATACTGTATGAAAAAAAAATAAATACTATATGAATTGGGAGGGTGGAGGGGGAGGAGACAAACATGACTTTCAGGTTCTAGATTTGAGTAACTGGGTGGATGGCAGCACCTCAGGGAAATAATGAAAATGAGAAAGATGGGGTGGGGCCAGGACAGGCAGGGCTGGGGGTGGTACAGAAAACATTTGCAAGTATTCAGCTTCATACACTTGAATCTGAGATACAGGCAGGGGGTCCTCAGCATGTTAAGGATCTGTGTCTCAAGTTTATGGGAACTCCTCCCTCTACTTTAGCATTTCAATGGTAGCTGAGATCAGGAAGTGGGTGAAACATTCAAGAGTATGTAGGTTAAAGAGGGTGTGAATGTGACTCTGGAGAAGACTCATATTATTTAAAGACCAGCATAAGAGAAAAGAAATAGGGTGATATGGGGGTTAAAAATAGGTCAGAGAGGTGGTCCTGGAACAAACTATGGCCCTGGAAATGATGAAAGATGAAGTGGTCATCAAGCAGGAGTGCAGAAGGGTGAGTCATTGAGTTAATCATTGAAAAATGTCCCCTGGATGATCATTTGTAATCTCAGTAAGAGGAATTTCAGTGGAGAATCTGAATCCAAAGCTAGATAGTTGTAGGATGAGGAGTGGATGTGAAAAGTAGTACTCTTTCAATGTGTTTCAGTGTGAAGGGGGAAGAAAGCAATCCCAAGAGCCTCAGTTCTTTCATTTATAAAATAGATACAATGATGGCTTATTTAATAGTTAGAGGAATTAAAGAATGCTGACAAAGCACATTAGCACAGTGCCAAGAACACAGATCTTCACAAATCCTGTATTAACCATTTATTTATTATATTAATAACATTAGCAGTAAGTGCATTCGGGATAATTTGCTCTGACTGGCTGGCCCTTTGCCAGCTGCCCCTGGATCAGGAGAAAGAGCTTCCAGTTGGAGATAATTACTGGAGGGTAGTAGTTAAATGCATGGGCTCTGTAGCCACTGTTTAGGTTGGCATCCAGGCTCTGTCGCACTTACTAGTTTGTGTGTGTGTGTGTGTGTGTGTGTGTGTGTGTGTGTGTGTGTGTAAGACAAGTCATTTAAACAATCTGTTTTAGTGTCCTCATCTATAAATTGGAGACAGTTATAATAGTACTTAATTCACACGGCTGTTGTGAGAACTAAATGAATGGTACACTCAGAACAGGACCTGGCAAAGTAAGCATACAGCAAATGTTAGCTGTATCTCTATTGCACCATGACCCATGGACATGGACAATGGGGTTGGGGCTGGGTGGAGGTTGGTAAAAGGGGAAAAAGTGGGGACAACTGTAATAGTGTAAACAATAAAAAAGAAAAGAAAACGAACACTTGCTGCATGTTCTTCTTGATTCCAGCACTGTGAGTCAGTGGCCATACTTATGCCATGACATCTGGTTACCAGCTGCTTGTAGAGTTTCTCATTGCTCCCCTGGTGTCTAATCCTGGCTCCCCCTGACTTCGGGTCTTGACACACCCCAACTTGTAGTGCTTCTTCATACATGCTAGCCTCAACATCTGTCCCCATCTTACTTTTGTTCTCCCAGTCCTGGTTTCCTGATTCCTCTCTCCTAAATGCAGTTCTGCCCAGTTTCCACATGTTAAAAGCTAACAATAAAAGCCAATGTGTACTGTATATCTACTATGTGCAAGGAATTGTCCTAAAGGTTTTCTGGGATTATATGCATTTCCATATTTTATACAACAGACTTGCAAGGTAAGACTTGATTCCCAACTTTTCAAATGAGAACAACAGGGCTCAGAGAAATGGATTTACTGTGTATCAGATATATCAGGGGTGGAAATAAGAATTCCATCTGAGGTCTACCCAATACCAAGTTATTTGCACTCACCTTACTGCCTCCCAATTAGTGTAACAGGGTGTTGGGCTAGGACCTTGGCTTAGGGGATGGGGGAAGCAGAGGATGGCCATTGAGAAATACTCTGCATATTTATGGCAACTTGGCCAACTTAATAGTTATATTAAAAAGCTGTGGTGCTCAGGGCCAGGGAGATGGGCATGACTTTCACTAGTGATGTTGCCTTGATATAGGGGGGAGGGGAGGAGGTGGTAGGGGGCGGGGAAGAGTTTACAGCGCCTGCATGAAGCTGGGAGGCAGTTCCCATTACAGTGCCTGCACTGAAGCAGGTAGGTGGTTCACCCTGCATCACAGGGCCACACCTGCCCAGAGTCAAAATGGCTGCAGAGAAAGTGTGAACTATACAAAGAACTGGCAGATGTAATCCACTGTGGGAGGAGTCGGAAATGAGGTCAGGCTGGAACCTCTGGGTCAGAATTTATACTAGGCGTGGCAGCCATGAGAGGTCTCTCCCATGTGGTTTGGGAAGTAGTGGGTCTGCCAAGGAGGGTTCCCCCACTGGCCCACCATGAGGTCTGGTGTGTAAGAAGGTGCCATGCAGTTTTGGATTAAGAGCTGGAGAACACAGTGATGGATTAATGGCAAATGCCTGAATGCAGAACTGTGACCAGGAATGCTGAGCCATGGACTTCTTATTTTCTGAAAGGTGGTATTTCTGAATGGCATATTCTGAAACTGGCCTGGTTTGGCAAAGGGTGGCAGGACCCTGTGTTTGTGGGTATTTTAAAGGCAGTGGAACTTAGCGGCAGAATTCTGCCATTATTCTAAACCTGTGTAACTTTAAAATAAATACTTCCTTTCCTTTTCACCAAACTCTGGCATTGGGATTCACACTTCTTGGCTATGGACAATCGAATCCCTCAACTGTTTCAGAACTGCATAGGCTGGAGCTCTGTGACATTAGCACCAAAGGAGGGCTTACAAAGTGTCTGAGGGCACAAAGGAGTGTTCCGAGATAAGCAAAGGCTTTGGAGAATACACAGGCCTTGATATGGAGTTCCAAGGATGTACCTGTTTAGATTTGGGTAGGAGAGATGCATTCAGTTAA